TCGGAACATTGACTTAGTACACTCCAAAGTGTTTCCCCAGCATCGTCAATACAGGGTTATAACTTATCAGTGACAAGTTAAGGCAATCCCCTTGACAAATTTTCTGTTCAATCATTGCGGCATCACTCCTCGCTCCTATTTTTTGTTCTACCTTTAGTGCTGCATCTCTTTCTCTAAATTCTCCTTCATATGGGCCATCTACCTATATGGTTGAACAGAAAATTGATCGAGGGGATTGCCTTCACTTGCCACTTGGATTAGTTGAAACTGCTGACGATACCGGCGAAGGTTTGGGAATGTACTAAGTCAATGGTCCTATGCTGGAAATCACGAACACTATCGCAGAGGACACATGACTAGGTACTTTCCACAAGGTCTTCCTGACACATACCAAGTTGCGAAAACGAGAGCCAACCAACACTATAAAGCTAAAGGAGACTTCGACCAAACAGAAGGTCACACCATCTTGGTCCTTATATTTACCATCATCCTGTTAGTTCACTTATTTCCTTTATTGTTTTAGATTAAGTGAACAGCGTCCTTAATATGCTCATCCCTATATTGTATTGATTTATGCTTTATTTTTTATTTCACATTAATCTTCTCCACAGCCATAATGGAACGTATGGGCTTTCATCGAGAAGAGATTCGAGACTCTCTGGAGAACGCTAAGTTCAACAATGTCACTGCTACCTACCTTCTACTGGACGATCCACAGACCCAATTAAACGTTCGTTCACGACAAGCTCTTGGCTCGCCTGTTAGCAGTCAACTAATATCATCTGGCGTAGGGCCTAGCAGTAGCAGCAATGTTCTTTTATCACAACCCCCGACTCACCAGCCTTCATCACAGGGAACAATGTCATCAACTACGACGACTATGACTACTTCGAAATCGACGACACCATCTCCTCTAGTACCTGTTTCTTTTAATTCCTTGTCTCAGCAAAATTCTGCCGATCACGATTCCACAGGCAAAACTTATTGTGCCATAAAAACAGACGTAGTCTCGAATAGCTCCAAATTGGTAGCTGACATAGACTCATTGAAACAGCCATTAGCTGGTATGCATTTTATTATTATGTTTTTTTTATTCCGACAACTATATATAAGTAAACTTGAAAAAGTTATTTTCGCTAGGTTTTTTAAGGAAAATGTTTGTTGATTTAACATATTTTTATTAAACTTTATCGTATTTAGATCTCTTTATTTATCAAATTCAAGCGTGCTTTTTAATTTTTTGGTCGTAGTTTGACAAATTTGAACTTTATGCATACATGCATTCTATAATGTCCTATTTGATTCACTCTACTTATTCAAGCCTTGTCCATAGGAAAAAGTGAGAATTATTTTTTACTAGCATGCGTAATATAAACGCAAAATATTCTGATACGGTTATTATCTTCACGAGCATATCATCCTGAATGCTAGGCTTGATTATGCATTCGATGGTGTGGATACCGAGATAAATTGTCGCGTTCTCATTTCGTTGTATAAAAGTGTTTGGACCTCGTTTTAGCAACTTTATCGTATTACCAGTGAGACATACATGAACGCATCTTGTACGGAGTCCTTTGCCCTATTAACCTATCAGTCATAACGCATAGATATGAAGACCAAAATGATGTAGCCTCTTGTTTGGTTGCAATCTCCTTTAGCTATGTAGCGTTGGTCTTCCCTCTTTCTTACTTGATCGGGGCAACAGGGAGACCTTGTTAAACGCATCTAATTCTGCGTCCTCTGCTATAATATTTCTTATTTCCAGCGTCAGATCGTTGACTTGTCTATTCTCAGACGTTTCACTGGTATCGTATTCAGCACCGTCAGTGAGAGGCGCTTTCGTTAGGGCATATTTATAACTAATCAAAGTTACGAATGAGCGCAACCACATTGATCAATTTTCTGTTCTACCGTTGTGGTATCATTCCTTGCTCCTATTTTTGTCTTACCTTCTATCGCTGTCTCTTTTTCTTAACCACATTTCATATAATCAATTTGCCTATTCACACCATTCTGTGTCCTCGTTTTCTGCAACGTCGCCTAAGAGTGTTTCGCTTCAAGTGGATTTGGTGGAGCATAATCAGCTTGACCACTGGTTTCAGAAGTTTTGCAAACGATATTTGAAAACGTTTGTGAACGTACCAACTCACTGGCTCGAAGCTGGAAATCACGAATACTATGGCAGAGCACACAGACTAGGTAAGTTTCACAAGATCTCTGACGCTCCGACCAAGTTGCGAAAGCTAGGTCTAACCAACACTACAAAGCCAAAAAAGAATGGGACTAAACAGAAGACCACATCATCTTGGCCTTCATATCTACGATATTTGGAAATGTTGCTTTACTATATCCACTCTAAGCGGGACACTCTTAGGCGATATTGAAGGATGCGAGAATAAAAAACGATGCGAATAGGTAAATGGGCCATATTAAGTCTGTCGTAGATATGAAGACAAAGATGGCATTGCCTTCTGTTTGGTCTAAGTCTCATTTAGCTTAATAGTGTTGGTTCGACTTTGTTTTCGCAACTTGGCCGCAGCGTCAGGGAGACCTTGCAGAACGTACCCTGGGAATGTTCCAAGTCAATGACCTAAAGCTGGAAATCACGAATAATCCAATAGAGGAAACAGAACTAGGTAGGTTCGAAGAAAAGTTGGGC